AATTCAGTCTTATTCTTAGCCTATTAACTTGACTTTAGTTATTCCCCTGCATTTTCTGACTATTCGCCAGTCCTTTCTTAACATTTTATATTTTTAAAACTCCAATATTGTATTCAGGCAAATTCGTTTTCTGTTATGAAGGGACATAATTTTACCTTTACCTTAGCAGTTTGCGTAGCATTCATAGGAGAAAAGCAAATTACGATCGAAGTTCAACACAGTTGAATAAAAATTAGACGTTTTGGACGGATTTATTAATTCCAATGGTATCCAATAATAATCAATGTTTTACAAGCAGAATTCGACAAAAAATTTTTGGAAATAAACCTAATGATACGTTGTAGTTAAATAGACTAATGTTCTAGCACAATCGTTTAAATCTCGGTTATTATTCACTGAGTTGCTTACTTTTCTAATCTGCAGTAGATTTAGCTTCGGGAAAACACAAGAAGTTATCATTCAATTGCTTTAATTTTACCCAGCATACACTGTTACATTATTCTTCCAAACAGATAGTCCTTTATTTTATGAAATTGATTTTTTAAATTCTTCAATCACAATTGTTTAGCTACTTTATGTAAACACTAGCATCAGCGGTAAGGTTAAAGGAAGCTCATTGTGAAAACATGTATTGGATAATCGATTCACTCGTAAAATTACGTTTTGAAAAACAACATGAAGGTCTAGAATCAACATTTTGAACATTAAGACTAAAGAGAGCAACTTATCTTTTTAGCTTGCGGACGATACATTTCTAAATAAATAAAATATTAAAGCTCTAAGTGAGATGAGAAATCGATTTACTTTGTGGCTGTTTAGCAAACATAACGGAGATAATCCACCATTTGTTCTTTCTTTTACATAGAAGCAATTTTCTAAGGTTAATTATCTTGCAATCGTTATTTAATATGTATACATAAAATTGTTAATGCTCTCTTTAAAATATTAATGTATGTTTTGACATATATAACTATATATATCAAGTTTAACGTAATGGTTTCTACATTTAAAAGTAGCGACTCCTTTGTTAGATAAGATTTTGTAAGTTTAATAGTATGAATATAATATGTTGATATAAAAGTTAACGTCAGTAACAAAAAAAAAAAGTCACAAAAAAGCATATGGCTGAGAGCACTTTTTTATATTTTTACAACTCCCCTATTGTATTCAGTCAAAACAGCTATAGGGAGAAGTAAAAAAAAAAAACGATCTGCGATCATCACCGTTCTAAGGAAACATTTCTTATAAAAAAGTCTGCTTTGCAATTTCTAATTAAAATGGTATATACGGGTAACCTATTTATTACAAGCTGAGTTTATAACTAAGCAGTTGAATTTTTGCAATTTTTTGGAAAATAAACCGAATTTTATCGTATACATTGCAGATAAATTGACTAAATTATTTAAGTATGAACCGAAAAGAAGGGGCTGTTATTCGTTAAAATAGATAATTGTCCTAATTACATCATATTCCCTTAGAAAAATCAAAAAAGACTTTTTTCAATTGCTTTAATTTTACTCGTCATACACTTTATTCTTAAAAAATAGGCAGCTCTTTATTTTATGAAATTGAATTTTTATTTTCTTCATTCACAACTATTTAGCTTCTTATGTAAATACATTAGCGTTTGTCGCAAGGTTAAAAGAAGTTCACTGCGAATAAATGTATTAGAAAATAGATTCGTTTGTAAAATTACGATTAACTAAAAACTTGATGGTCGAGATTAAAACATAACGTTAACCACCCAAATAAAAACCATAACTTGCCAATTTAATTTACCGTCGATCCATTATAAAAATACAAAATATTAACATTCTAAGAAAGATGACGAAAGGATTTGGTTTGCCGTTGTTATGCAAAATTCAAGATAAAATCTACCATTTATTTTTACTTTTACATGAAAACATTTTACTAAATTGAAATATCTTGCAAATGTTTTCATTTTCATACAAAATTTTCAATATTCCTGTACAATTATTTAAGATTTATAGATTGAACAAAATAAAATAATGTTTTGCACATTTAATATATTTTTTTATTGATTTGTTAGTCTACATTTTGTGAGTTTGAGGGTTGTTGATGTTAAAGAAAAGGCTTACCGTATTTAAAACAAAATAAAATGGAAGTGATCTTCCCTTAATGTGAGTATATTATCAATATAAATAGGTGTGGAATAACACTTGAATTGAATTCGGAATTAAAAAACGAATATGTTTGTGACGAAACTGCGTATTTTCCAGAAAACACTTAGAGGAGAAAAGTTCTTAAAATAATTTGCTACTTTAAAAAGTCCGACATGAAATTCTTGAGGTTTTTTTTTAGAAGTTGTAAAACCTGGAGATTTGAAAAATCTCGATTTTGATTTTTTTTTTTGCGCGATTCCATTGCTCTTTAACCTCTGTGAACTAGAAAATAAAAAACAACAGCAAAATACGTTTGTATGTGTTGAGTATGTGTACGTATCGTTATTAGGCTATTTACTCTATGTTTATCAATAGCCCAAAGTCATTTATTTGTAACATAACTACACAATAAGAATCTTTATTTTATAATAAAAAAATAATAATAATCTTATCTTAAGACGCCGTTTAGCAACCTTTTTCGATTCGAAAAATTTATAATGTTGATTTAAATCACAAGTTAATTGCATAATATATTTTTTTAAAATAAGGAACAGTCATACAAACAGTTCTAAAGCCTCTTTTGTTTTTAAGACGAAATTTATGTTTGCAATTTACTGAACACAATGGGCGTAACTATCATTATTCTTGTACTCTAGTATTATTTCTACAGTTGCATTACTTCATTATTTTAATTATATCACCGAAATTTTAGTAATGTGATAATTATCAGTTTGTTACAAAATCTGAAAAACTTAAATTATTTGACTTCTGTTTTACCGTCAATTTAAGTAGTATTATTAAATATCTTGTTTAAATTGCAAGGCTTTTGATGTCTATCCGGTAAGTCTCGAGTCTGTAAGTAGCACCAGATTCCATTCAGCTGCTATGGTTGCAGGACTCACGCGAGTTAGGCTACACAAAGGCGGCTGGACATAGTGCTGATCACAATATCCCTTGATTGCCCATATCACTGGAAAAGATGAACTGTCGGCACACTCCCTGTTTTCAGGGGCATAGAGAGGTCGCTTTAGTAATCCACTGGTTATGCTATGAGATAAAGAGGGCCGGCCTATTCATCGATTGTAGTAGCCTACTGTATCTGAAGTGTAGGGCAGTCATTGAAATGAATGTAGGTTCCATGGTGCTAATGGGGCGCTCCGGATCATAGGACTTTCTGGCTGATTGTAATACACAGAGCAGGACAACCATCCAATCAGGCGCTAAATTTAATATTTAATTTTTTTTTCAACCAGAAACATCATAATTATGATTCTATGGCGATCGGATGATTGGTACAATATTGTACTAAAGTTATATATATATATATATATATATATATATATATATATATATATATATATATATATATATATATATATATATATATATATATATATATATATACTTTATATTATATATATATATCATTTATATAAATTGGTGACCCGTCAAAAGAGCGCAAGACATAATAGCGCCGACATAAGAGCGCCGACATAAGAGCGCAGACAAAAGAGCGCCGACATAAGAGCGCAGCCAATTAAAAAAACACATGTTGTACGCTAAACGAATATGACATGGTTAACACTTGTTTTAATTAAACAATCGGCGGTACGATAAAACGACATGCGTTTCTTTATATATTATGTTTAATATGTTATGAATGCAGTTTGAAAATATTTCTAACCCAAGTAACATGGAGAAGATCGAATCACAGAAAGGGAAGGTTATTATATGGTCGAAGGCTACAGATATAGACAGGACAGAGCAAATGCTGATGGAAGTACGACTTTGAGATGCTGCAAGAAAGATGGCTGCCGAGGACGGATGAAAATGCTGAACGATGTTGTTCTGTCATCTTCGGGATGATACTTACATAGTTAGGCGAAGGAGAAACCGTCGAGGTGACCCGAGCTTCACTGTTGCTATTTGGAATGTCCATAATCGTGTCTCTGAAAATCTACCCCGTACAAACAACTCTGTAGAGGCATGGCATCGCGCATTCCAACAAACGATAGATTGCTACCATCCTTCCGTTTATAAATTGATCAACCAGTTTCGTCTGGAACAAGATCACATCGAAATCGAAATGGAACCTCATCTAGATAATCAACCCAGAGGCGTAGAGATGGGGGGCAGGGGGCGCCAAATGGGTTGTAAAACCAATTAAAATGTTATATTAGCTGCATTTTTGCAGTTTGAGGAGGGGGGTGCAAATCGAAAAGTTGATGGGGGGTGCAAATCGAAAGCTGGAGGGGGGGGGGGGGTGCACATTGTAAATTTGCCCCTGAGGGAGGCGCCAAATTGAAAGTTTGTCCTCGGGCGCCGGGAAAGGTCGCTACGCCTCTGTATCAACCAAAAGTTTCAAAGAACACATATGTTCAGCTGAACCGAAGATTGGAGGGGATTGCTACAACCTATGCTAATGATTCAATGATGGACTACTATACGAGGTAGGCCTATAACCCACAACTTAGCATTATAAATGCAACTATAAAGAAACGTTTTATTAATTTGAAATATATTTTCATTTTGTTACATTTCATTTCAGTTTGCATTCTCACTTTAGGCCAAACATTTAAAATCTTTGTATGTGTTATTACATTGCGTTTTAAATAATTGGACTTCACGTTGATTATACCAGTTTTTTAGTTAAAGAAACTGAACAATTAGTTTTTTAATGAAACAATAAAGAGTTAACATCAAACGATGCCGTCTGATCTGAGATAATTTTCTTGTTCCTGTTTATTACATATGGTTTTTCGATCTTTAGTTTGCGCTCTTATGTCGGCGCTCTTATGTCGGCGCTCTTTTGTCGTGCGCTCTTTTGACGGGGTGCCAAATAAATTATATATACATATACATACATACTTTTGCATACGAGAAATTACGCGTAGCCGATATTTAAATACATACGTTTAGTTTTATTTTAGCTTAACAATTAGCTTAATTTTTATTCTTTCCAAATCTTATAGCTGTTCATGGACAAGCCGCCGTAAAAGGGCAAATCATTGATGCAGTGATTTGAATACACGAACTATTAATATTGAAAAACTGTCGATTAAAGTTCTAAACATGTTCATTAATTTAAGCAAGAAATTGCCATTGTATTATAGTGGATGAGGACCTGGTATTTAAAGCCAGCGTGTAATTTATTAAGCTTAACAATTTACATAATACACTTTTGTATTCTGAATATTAATTGTGAAATAAAGAACTGTGATAAAGAAATTAAAATTAGACAAAATACACATTGAATATTAAAAATATATTTAGTATTAAAAACAACGACCATATCGATTACACCATCACTAACAAATGTAAACAGTTTTATTTTATTTTCATTTCCTTTTCAAGTTATATGCAGAAAATAATATTACTAGTTTACAGGTTTTAAATTAATTACATAAAAATAAGAATACAAAGTATACATTAAATATATATTTTGTATTCACTTATTCTACACGAATTTTGATCTCGATGGTATCCAACGAACCATGGTCTGGGGTAACCGTCTCCCAAAAAACACCTGTGAATTCGCCTTCACTTCTCCACAGAGCATTTACATTGACATTCTGACAGGCTTTATACCACCAACCACCTTTGCGATAATGTGAACAATTCTTTTCTGCTTCATCATTATCTTTATCTTTTGTTGTAAACTTCATACCGTTATGGTAATAGAATTGATCGCTCGCATTGCCCCTGTATGTGGAGAAACTTATCCGGTAGAAATTTTCTTCATTTTCAACTTTGAGATTCATGTATTCAGCAAAGTAGCTGATCCCTTGGTACGTCATGTCGAACCTCAAAACATTATAGCCCTGAAATTAAAAATATCAATACAAAAATTAATTGATTTTGTATTAAAAGTATATGAGATAGTTAGATTTATTTGTGTTTACTTATAAAATCTAATATAAAATAATATTAGTAAATTGTTAGCTGGCATTAGTTTAAAACAGTGAAATAATTATTGCTTAAAGCAATAAGATAAATAAGGTAAAACAAAATAATAGGTACCCCCATACGGAGTATTATCGTCTAATTTATAAATTAGAGAATAAGGTAAAAGTATTAAGCTGTACAATGCAAATTGGAAATAATTATTATAATAAATAAAGAATACTTTGATTGCACGTAATATACTTCTTACCATGAACGTTAATTTCCAAAGCCAATAATTTCCTAACCAAAAATCTCCTGATAATTCACCAAATCCATTTTTGTATTCATTCCAGGTTCTTTGAAAACTTTCTGTTCCTTTTATACGTCTCTGTGGATAAATTTAAAAAAAGACGCTAATTTTTAAATAAGATACACACACAATCATGCACAATCACTAATAATTTTAAGTGTACCTAAATAAAAACACACTGAAAAACTCAAATCACTAAAAAATGAATACAAACTGTCAATACTTGATTAAATCGTGGGCCAAATTTACTTTTATAAAATTTAATTTACTGTGTAGATAAGCATTTTTATAAAGTATGGGGAAAAATAATAATCAGAAACCTGAATTAGAATCCATCCCCCTCCTTCTGTCTTCGTGTCGCACAAAGCCTGCTTGTGTTTTGTTAGCATAAACTTCAAACGCTCAGGTAAACTTGGGTCATCGTCCTTAGAACACTGAAGCTACAAAAAAACACGTTTTGATATTAATGCAATAACTTTAATGTAGATAACGTATAAACCACTTTGGAAAAAAAAATCTCTTTAAGCGAGGAATGAGCAGTGATGGAAAAGTGTAGCTTATTGTAAATAACTTATAAAGATATTGTTGGAAAAAGACAAAAAAAGCAAACGATGACCGGAAAGTTGCGCAACGGAAAACGGCGCAAAGGAAAACTTTGCACAGATACGTACGCAAGTGAATTTTCACGTTCTCAAGTCGAGCATACTTTATGGACTTAACAGATATACTAAATGCACATTGTAGCATTATAAAACACATTTTCACGACATTTTCACGAAATCCAAAAAGACAAGCAGACTGAAATCGACGCATAACAATCGGAAATGTAATACTTCATTGTGTTGGAGGGAATCACTTTCAATATTATAGAAATTAAGGGCATGAGCGGGTGATGAATACGCAGTTAGCCTAAATTCTTATTTATAAACCTAACGTTATCATCTATTCCATATATACCAAAGAGTTAGTCTAAAAATTAAAAATAGCCGAAAATATCTTACCGTTGCCATGGTGATAGCGGCTATCTTTGAATTTTTCAAAACCACTTTAATATTAAAATAACTCTCTTAATTACTATTATAATTAAAATTAAAATTTTCTCTATACCGATAAGTATTATACCAATAAAACAGATAAAACACAACATTTTGAAGAATTGTGCGGCATTAAATCTAGTGTTTTTAACTGATCCACAATTTGAAAATTCATAATAAAATAGTTTGTATATCTATATTTTAACTTTTTAGCTGAGAACCCCGAAATTAGATAGAAAATTCTGAATTTATTGTTTATTGGGCTAAAATATACAATTTTATCAATGGTGGAAATGCTACGAAGAGCTTTTTGTTTTCAAGATGACCGCCGTTGGTATTAGTAACCAAGATTTTCCCACCAATTTTTAAAAATAGAAACACATATGCGAATGTACCTTTAAAAAGCTTTAGAGAAAAAAAAAATTGTTGGTTCTCTTGTATTAATTTTTTAAAAAATCCGGAGCCTACCCATTTGAAAGGGTAAATAAAATTCAAGATGGCCACCATCAGCATGGCAACGGTATGAAATGTTTGGCCATTTTTTTAAATTTTAATACTTAGCTCTTTGAGTTATAACTATATGCTACACGTATGTAACTTGTTGCTACTGGTAATGGACACGTATGAGTGCCTCACTTGTGTCCGTATGGTCACAATATGAACGGAGTTGTGTGATTTTTAAACTAACGTCACAATACTCCTCTTTACTATATGTGAGGGTGAGGTTTGTAGAAGAAACACCCAGTTGTGAGGGTGGTGATTGTATGAAAGCCGCTGATCTACCAAATGATGTGTAGTATTAAAGAAAGTTTGTATTCTATATACATATACTCTCTACGTGAGTCGCCTTTTCTTACGTGCGCCTGGTACAGTGTGGAATTAACCCAAAAGGTCCAATTCAATAAAATGTAGTTCTTTATTTACACATGACATTGTCTCCTACCCTAACTACATCCTAACATATACACATCTACTAACACTATCTAACTACACGCTCCTATGACCATCCCTAACACATTATCTACCTCTAACTCTCTACATCTTTCCCCTAGCGCTACCTATCTCTAACTGCTCCCTAACTACGTATTACCGTTCTCTACCGCTACCTATCACCGACTGCTGACCCACGCTTCACTGACCACCTGACAGTCTCATATGACCGGCCATCTCCTGTTATTCTATTGGTTTACCTAACTACGCTATGCAGTGTTTCTGCTATCTTCTACTTGACCTCTGTAACCTAAACGTGCGTCATCACACGCATACAGATCAAAATAAAATTTAAAAAATTTATAAATTACCTTTATTATTGCCTCACTGTCTACAGCGTCGTAATAAGCATCAACCAGCGCCGTCTTTATAATTTTCTTTTCAGCTTTATATTTATTCAATTTGTCTTCAAGAAACTTGTATTTTTTCCTAATTTCGTTGGAAAGGTTTTGAAGATTGACCAAATCTTTATTTTCTTCGTTGGGTAAGGCAAGATTCTCAGAACCTTGAAACTGCATTTTCATATCAGCTGAATAATTTAGGTTAGATCTGGTTAAACCAAGTTGAAGGTTTACTTCAGACGTAGGCGGCTTACTTCCAACTCTTAATAACAAATTTAGTTCGGAAAACGGGTCGGTTTCTCTTCTCAGCACAGCAGCTGTTGATTCTTTGTTAGTGATCTTTCTGGGATTATTTTCAACTTTTTGTTTCATTTCTACCTCGCCTTTCTTGTTAATGTAGTACATCTCACAGACAAACACTTTCGTCTGACATTCCTGCTCTACATTGAAGAATAAAATCAGCTCTCCAACAGTTGAAGTTAAAATTCGAGACACCTTCACGCTTGATAACGTGTGACTCATATCCGGAACGGATGCCAGCAGAACTGTTCCCTCTAGATCATCGACTTTATAAACCGAGATGTTGACCAATTTTGTTACATCTGTGTTTCCTGTGATTTTCTCCGAACACTGCAGTTTAGCACAAAATATAGCATCGTCTGAAGGGATCTGGATCTCAAGATTCAAACCTAAATTTAAAGATTAAATTCTAAAATGACGACGATTTAAAATTGAACACGCGAACAACTTATTAAACCTACGTGTGTCAATTAAAGATGTGGTTATATAGGGTTCTTTTTTTAAAAGTTCCATTTTCAACCTGACGATACATGGGGCAATGAAGGAAAATGCACTTGTTTCCGTGACCTTGGCATATGAAGGGAAAGTGTAGTCAGCACTATGCTTAACCTAAGTTAAGTACAATATCAAAGCCGGGTCTGTCTCACGACCTTTCTACTGGCTAACATCCGACTTTTTGGGGTTATAACTTTTACAATTAGTATAACAACAATTTCAAACATTTAACAATGCTTTACGTGTATTCTTAAGTTTTGAAAAAAAAACATTTTATAATTTGAAGGATACATTTAATGCGAATTAGATGTTATTTGGTCTGCTTAAGTAAAAACTACTTTCATTTTTAAAAACGCTGATAGAATATTAGCAGACTTATTACTCACAAGGTAATTATAACTACAGAGTCTCGTTTTGATATTCGCTAATAGTATAGCTCAATAATTATATTACATTAATTATTTTTTTCTACAATTTTTAATGTAAAACGAAATTCTTACACACATAAATGCTAATTTTTTTTTTGGTTTTGGATAATTTAGTATATAATTGATAGACAAGCCTGATTCAACTTAGAAAAGGACTATAATATCCCATCTTATTTGTAGTCGTCTAACAAATTGCCAGCAAAACTTTCCTGGTCACATATTACGCAGTCTAATTACCCCGCACCAGATTTTGATGCTGAAGATACCTGGTATTTCACGTCCGACGTCTTCAATGTAGCAGATCTAGACAACACCACGAAACAACATGAGACCTATACACTTGAATTCTCCATACAACAGGAAAGACAAAGTCATCGGAACCATGAGATGAGTCCCACCTACTTTTAGTAAAGCGCTTAAAACAATAGTCAAAAAAGAACCCACAGTCATATCAACAGGAACACCGTAAACAGGAACTAACACCGTAAATTCGCCAACTACAATGACAACCCATAATACATCAACACATCGGATAGAAATATCTACTCTACACAGAACTAAGCAAGCAAACTTAGAATTAAAACTACCAGCTCACATACAGAAAAAATAAAGATAATCTATGTAAGCCAGCAACAACCTACTCACCTGCAGCTAACAAAGAAAAAGTTATACAAGCAATCAAGACCCCACCCGGATTACCATTTAACAAGCCACACCTAAACCGCTGCGCAATAGTCGACCTCTCATTAAGGGAAACAAAAGCACAAAACGTAGACTAAGCACACAGCGATATTTTAAACTGCAGAATCTGCAAAGACAGTATGCCAGTAGACATGCCAGATCACTTCGCAAACAACCACCCTAAAGCCATCGCCTACAAATGCTCCTACTGCGAAGGTATACACACAGTATGCACGTCAAAGATGCAGATAAAAAATTCACCCCAAGAGCTGGCACCTAAACAATGACCCAGGGCATTGTGAAGTCTACAGCAGGTAAGGCGAAGAAACAGGCAATACGAGAATTTTATTCAGAGACGAACCAAACCAAGCAAAAGTAAAGTTTCCAGATCAAACTAGCAATGTATCCCCCCATCCTTTTTAAATAATAATACTTTAGGTGATTAGGATTATCTACCCTACATCATGCTGCCGTCTACCCCACGCTTAAGCACCTATAAAACTTAATTGATGTGTTAAAATTAAGTTGTGCTAAAATCTGAGAAATGATAAAGTGCAAACGGTGTTTTAATATTTCCTGTTAGAAGTTTAATGTAAACCTGCTCTTACCGCCTGAACCCCTTTACTCGAGGGGAGCCGATGAGAGAGGAACACTAGTAAACTTTTTTAAAAGGTCCATTTGAGTTTTATATAATAGATTTAAACATTCATTCTATGCATACTTTGAAATATGTATTAACGAAAATTTTATACGTAAAAAATTCTGATTAAAAACTTATAGTTCTACTGTCAGACGAATAGACTATACCTACCTTCAGCTTCATTCAGCATAAAAACAGAAAGGAGCAAAGTAGTTACTAACAACATTTTCAACAATAAGTATTTTTTGCTTACTTTTCAGACGCTTTGTGCTGCTTTTTATGCATCTGCAAAAAAGGGGCGTTATTGCTACATAATTAGTTTTATCTGGTGCGGGAATAGATTACACGGATTCAAAATATTCTTTTCCGTTAGTGGAAGATAAAGCGGGTTTTTATTTCGCTGTTAAGCGTTTGTGTAAACAAACAAAAATATATACTAAATGTACTTATTATGTTTATATGGAGGCACACACACATAAACACACACACACACATACACTTTCACTTATATATATATATATATATATATATATATATATATATATATATATATATATATATATATATATATATATATATATATATATATATATATATATACAGGTGAAAGTACGTGTGTGTGTTTGCCTACATATGAACATAAATAAGTGCATGTAGTATATATATATATATATATATATATATATATATATATATATATATATATGTGTGTGTGTAATATTTGTCTAATCTTGAAAGTGATCTGCATTTACAGTTTCTTTCATCTCCCTACTCCCCCCCTCCCCAAACGAAATAGGGTTATTTTATTTCAAATGTCTCCCCCTCCGGAGAAAAAAAGTTTGAAAGAAACTCTATCTGCATCATTGAGGTTTAACGGCTAAAAGTAGAAAACTGGTTTAGATTATATATTTTAGATGTTGTGTCTACCTTTAGATGGTATAATCTACAAATGTGACGCGAATAAAGTTCTTTCAAATTTCTTTCTGTCGTTGGTGGGGGGGGGGCACTTACAATTTTCAGTGGTAAGGGGAAGGGCATAATAAACTTTTCCCGAGGGGGGGGGGATTGGTGGGCGTACAATGGTAAAAGAATATATTTTCTTTATCTTTATATTTTCTACTAAAATTATATTTTGTTCGAGGGTGCGGTTGACTTTCTTCCCGGTCAGCCCCCCCCCCGCCCCACCCCACCTTCTATCACTCTATTCAACAGAGTGAGTAATTTTGTTTAGTATGAGGATAATGAATCATTTGGAAGCAGGAAGGTGTTGCCGGAAGCTTGATTATTAATTTATTTTTCTTAACAGTTGTCTATTCCAATATTACTCATCAACACAAAAAACGTCTTGGTCGTGTTTAGTTAAGTAGCTTATCAGTGGATCAGCATAGGACAAAATTGAAAACAAAAGACACTTGTATTTTTCTCTAAGTTAATTCTACTTGTAAACAGGAACTAACAAATTATGTTAGCTGTAAATAAACTAGGATTTTAAAATAATTTATGTCAGTAATAAATCTTTAGTTTTTATAATTCTGTTCATTTATTTCATTAATAATAGGATTGGTAAAAAGCAATATAGTCTGAGTAGAGCAATATAATTAATTTTTGAGAAGTGCATACACACTTATATAAGTCAGGTTCAAATATATAAGCAAGACCAAAACATTTTTAGAATGTGGTCAAAAATTGCTTTTATGCTGATTTTGATGATTGTAAATTGCTCGAATGGTAAGTATAGTGTTAATGTGCTGTAATAGTTTATTTTTCAAGTGAATATATTATTGTATAATCAAATATTTGAATATTTTCTCAGCAAAGGTACACAAATGCTTAAAATTCAAGAGAAAACGGAGTAATTTGTGAACGAAATAACCAAAAGTAAAAATTGACAATAATGTAACAATATTTTAGAAACACAAAGACTACCACACACATATATAAATACTAGGCATACTGCCTAGCTTCGCTTAGGTTTTCGAAAATATTTGAGAATTTGAATACTTAATTATTTAGTGACGGCTGAGGTGTGAAGTGCTTAAATTTAAACAGTAATGCTAATTTTAGAGAAAATGTGATTGTTGTTCTTTGTTGATTAAAGTCCATTTTCAGAGAAAATATTGGAAAATTCGAAATGTATGAATAAAATAGAATTAGAGCTACAGAGGTTCCATGAACAGTATATCTCATAATTTATTTTACATTGACTTTTCAAATTACTTAACTTAATTAAGATACGTACCTTAATTAACAACTTAATTTTTACTGAAACAAATGCTATACTTCGTCATTTTCTGTTTGTGTTTGAAATATTATTCAATTGTTTGAAAATAATTATTTTATAAAAGGTTACCGCCCTTGAAAATTGAACGAATGAAGTAAACCTATGTCTGTGTTTACTTTTTTTTTTTTACAAACAATTAATTATAAAAAAAATACATCATCTGGACTAATCTAACGACGCTAAGGTTTTTTTTTTCAACGGGAATAATGTTTTTTGTTATCGTCCGGGGTCGGTCTACGACCTCACAAAATATTAGGGAAATCGTTCCTCAATTTATTTATAGATATCTTATATAATGAGAATTTCACTCGCGGTCACTTTTTAGCCCTCATCGAGTGCTTTGAGTCTGACCAACAGTTTATCCATACGGCCTAGTCATCTATAAAGGTGCATGCAAAAATATGGGAAGATAAATAGAGGTTAAGTATCCTAAAATTTATGTTAAAATTACCATGTTTTTTCCAATAAAATACAAAGATTATATTGGGAAACGACTGGTCAGTTTTGACCCATTTCCAGATTTTTCCCGGACATCGCGAGTTTTTTCTTACATCCCTAGGTGTTCTCCTACCACCTCACAAAATATCAAGGGGGGGGGGGTCGTTTTGCAAGAATTTTTTTCGTTATATAGCTCAAATAAGGAGATTGTCACTCGCGGTCATGTTTTAGCCCTCGTCGAGGGCTTTGAGTCAAACCGACAGTTTTCCCTAAAGGTCAAGCCATTTACCTAGGAGCATGCAAAAAATTAGCCAGATATACTGAGTTTAAGTACCCTAAAATCCGCGTTGAAATTACCCTCTGTTTTTCCCAAAAAATACAAAGATTATAGGGAAATACAACTAGTCAGTTTTGACCCGTTTACGAAGTTTACCCAGATATGCCGAGTTTTTTGTGACACCCCAAGGGCGCGATTTTTTTTTTTTTTTTTTTTTTGATAAATACGGAATATACAAAATAAGAGTCGATTGCAGATTCACACTGCTAATCCAATCGCCGTCAAACTTTGGGGAGTTGATTAGAGCAATTCAAGGAAAGGTTCCGTAAAAAGTCATTTTTAATTTCGCAAGGGCGGCGCCACAGGATGGTGCGATTTTCTCTATATACGGTATATAAAAATAAAAGTCCATTGTGGTTTCATGGAGCTCATCTGATTGCCATCAAAGTTTGGGGAGTTCATTAGAACACTATGGGGAAAGGTTCTTTAAAAAAGTTCATATTTAATTTCGCAAGGGCGGCGCCACGGGATGGTGCAATTTTTCTCTATGTACGGTATATAAAAATAAAAGTCGATCTTGGTTTTACACCCTTCATCCGATAGCCATGAGAATTTGGGGAGTTGATTAGAACAATTTCTGGAAAGGTTCTGCAAAAATATTTTTTTTCATTTCGCAAGGGCGGCGCCGCGGGAGTGTGCGATTTTTCTATAAGTACGGTATATACACATAAAAGACGATTGCGTTTCGACACAGTTTATCCGAGTGCCATAACACTTTAGGGAGTTGATGAATATTCCCGATAAGTTTTCTGGGGTTGGAGGGTGGGGGGGGGGGTGATTGGTGGTGGGAGGGGGGATTTAATTTTGCATAGGCGGCCCCCCCGGCAGGATGTTATTTGGCCTAAACAGTGTGATAGACAATGAATAGGATGGGGAGTTACAAACGCTCACTAAATTGAATCAGGAGTGTCCGCCGGCACCCTGGTAGGATGCGATTTGGCTGCAAAAAAAATATTCAGTTTCCATCTCCAAAGGCTCAGTTGGGCCGCTGAAGGCCATGTAATACGTTTTTATTTCGATAATCAGAAAAATTAACCAAGGTTAGATTATTAACTTGGATGTTTCTTTTTGTTCGTAAAAAAATCCGAACAGTTTCGTCACTTTGCGAATAATGCAATTACCATCTATTTTTAGACAATACAATCAGAAATTCAGAACGAGCTTCTAATAATCGACCATTAGTAACGCTAAAATATTGCATCAGTCACACTGATGTTTAAAACACGTCAAATAATTTTGTTACGTGCTAAAGAAAAAAAACATGTTCATTTGTGTCACTTTGGCGAATGACGCAATCTGCATCATGGTTAACAGGATGCTATTTGGCACGATGGCGCCAGTTAGTTTTAGGGAGCCAGGGGCCGTACGTGGCGACTATGCGGTAGTGTAATCGACGGGGGGGTGTGTGCTCCTGAGAGCTCCCCTCTACGTCCCTGATACATGGGTGGTCACCGTAGTGTGTGCAACCTGATTATTTCGATGAGTGATTAATGTATACATAAGGTTTTCACGCGGCGGTAGTGTAGGTAAACCCGTGTCCCGGTGTTTGTGATCCAAGCGCAGGCTTTGTTTACATTATATATATATATATATATATATATATATATATATATATATATATATATATATATATATATATATATATATATATATATATATATATATACTAAAACTCAACTTTGTTTACATGTTTGAATATTTATTTGTTTGTCTGATTTCTTACTGTAAGGAAACTGCTCCATATGGGGGGCTGTAAAATAGTATGTAGATAGAGAACAATTTTTGATTGCAGACAGACTGTTAATCACACATTTAGTTAAAGACGTTAATTAATTTATTGATTTATTCATAGATAGATTAACCACATTTTTAAAAAAAAAGATTTGAACAACCACTAGACTCGACGGAACCGCGACGTCACATTTTTTTTTAGTTTACATTTTAGTACAATAAAATGGCGGCCTCCATCATAGACCCATTCAAAAGTTTAACGCGTTCTAAATCTAATTTTCTGTCGGCCATAACTTTAACAATATGTCCGTTTGCTGTTTTTATTACGTTCCAACACTTATATAAATTTTCAACTGTCTTTTTCATTTAGTTTTACAATAAATTTCTCTAGCTCTACACTCTGTGCACGAAAGTTATTTATAGATCTAAAAATATCATGTGGCCAAGAAAGTTATTTATAGATCTAGATCTAGAATCTAGGTCAAACAAAAGATTAATTAAATACATACCAAAGATTAAATTTAAAAAATACAATCCATATTATAATCGTAATACATTTTTAGTCCTTAAATACTTGATATAAATCTTTGTGATTTATCTATCTTGATTCTAGATCTAGAATTTCTAGATTCTAGATCTAGATCTAGATCTAGCAAGAGTTACGCAAATACTACATTCTAGAGTATTCTAGACTTAAACAAACGAGTCGAAGAATCTAGATCTAGATAATGCTATCTAGATAATTTCTGACCTTCTTTATTTTATATAAATCTTTGTTTGGCTAATTTAAGATAAAATTTAATTTGAAAGTTACTACTACTAGACTTAGATCTAGATCTATGCGAGTAAATCAAGTTGCATAAGGAGACTCAAAGTATTAAACTATAGTATAAAAATTCACTTGTGACGTCACGAGTAAATAGCTAAGTTGTTAGTGTAATCGGCTCTCATGCGGGTGGAACAGGTTCTAGACCAATACGTCGATAATAATTTTTTTTCAGTTTTTATTTTATTTTTTAGCTGTGAATGATAAAGTTGCCTATCTGAACATGGCGGGATAAAGGGCAGGTTAAGTAGAGTTCATCTGTTTCTTTGTCCTAAGCATATGAAGGGATAGTGTGGTCAAAGACATGCTCGACTGGAATCGTTTTTTAAACGATAACAACATGTTGTCTGAGACTTGGCGGGACACTGGGCAGGTGAAGTAGAGTTGAGTAGGTCACATGTGACGTCAGTATATGAAGGGATAAGCCGAAATCAGTGTTTTCGGTGTTTTTAAAAGATAAAAAACATTTTTGAATGTGGGGTCTGTTTCTTTGTGTGACGATAAGTGACACTGCAGTAGCGTAGCGAGGGGGATGAGGGGGGGGGGGCGGGGGGGGGGGGGGGACATATGTCCCCGGGCGCCGACTTTAGGGGTCGCCAAATTAAATTAAATTTTACTTATCTACTGAACATTGTATAAAATATGTGATTGATAAAAGACGTAATCCACTATAAGGCAAAATTTAGTTTTAGGTTTCCGTCTTGAGGTGAAGAGCGTAAATCCACACGGCAGTAACAACCGATGTGCTGAGGTTAGGTGTGTGGAGAAAATATATTTTCATTTTCTTACATTTCATTTCAGTTTTTATTCTCACTTTAGGCCTAACATTTAAAATCTTTGTATGTGTTATTAGATTGCGTTTTGAGTAATTGGACTTCACGTTGATTATATCAGTTTTTTAGTTAAAGAAACTGAACAATTAGTTTTTTAATGAAACAGTAAATATTTACCATCAAACGATGCTCTCTCATCTGAGTTAATGTTTTTGTTCCTGTTTTTATTAAATATGGTTTTTCGATCTTTAGTTTGCGCTCTTATGTCAGCGCTCTTTTGTCGTGCGCTCTTTGACGGGGTGCCATATAAATTATATAAACATATACACATACATACTTTTGCATACGAGAAATAACGTGTAGCCGATATTTAAATACATATGTTTAGTTTTATTTTAGCTTAACAATAGCTTAATTTTTATTCTTTCCTATCTTATAGCTGTTCATGGACAAGCCGCCGTAAAAGGGCAAATCATTGATGCAGTGATTTGAATACACAAAATATTAATATTGAAAAGCTTTCGATTAAAGCTCTAAACATGTTCATGAATTTGAGCAAGAAATTACTAGTGTATTAAGGGATGAGGACATGGTATTTAAAGCCAGCGTGTAATTTATTAAGCGTAACAATTTACAAACTATTTCATTATACATTTTTGTATTCTGAATAGTAATTGTGAAATAAAGAACTGTGATAAAGAAATTAAAAAAAGACAAAATACACATTGAATAATTTAAAAAAATATTTAGTATAAAAACAAAGAATCGTTTACACCATCATTAATAAATGTAGACCTTTTTTATTTTGTTTTATTTTCCTTTTCAAATTATATGCTGATAATAATATTACTAGTTCACAGGTTTTAATGTAATTACATACAAATACTAATATCAAGTATGCATGAAAAATATGTTTGTATTCACTCATTCTGCACGAATTTTGATCTCGATAGTATCTAAAGAACCTTCGTTTGGGGTAACTGTCTCCCAATAGACGCCTGTAAATTCACCTTCACTTCTCCACAGTGCATTCACGTTGACCCATTGACAGGCTTTATACCACCAACCACCTTTACGCTCATCTGAACAATTGTGTTTACTTTCTTCATCGTTATCTTTATCTTTTGTTGTAAACTTCATATCGTTATGGTGATGGAATTGATCGCTCGCATTGCCCCTGTATGTGGAGAAACTTATCCGGTAAAAATTTTCTTCATTTTCAACTTTGAGATTCCTGTATTCAGCAAAGTAGCTGATTCCTTGATATGTCATGTCGAACCTTAAAACATTATAGCCCTGTCGTAAAAAATAGATTCACATTTTAATAAAATATTTATAATTATAAATAGTATATACGAATTTTAGTTTTATTAATAAAATCTACTATAAAATAATCTTAGAGAATTGTTATTATAATGTTTATTCAGAAAGGCTGCAGTAAAATATATATTTATTTTTGAAGCTGCTCAGCAAAAAAGTGTTACATTAAAATAGAGAAGACAAATTCAATAAATTTCCATGTGCACATTGTTAGCTGGATGTAGTTTAAAATAGTTCAATAGCTATTTATTCAATCAATTATAAGCATGGTAAAACATGTACTCTCATACAGAGTATTATAGTCTAATTTATAAATTGTAGAATAAGATTAAAGTATAAAGATGTATGATGCACTTTGAAAATAATTTTTTTATTAAATAAAGACTAGTTTGAGGGCAAATATTCTTCTTACCATCAGTGTTAACTTTGAAAGCCAATCATTTCCTAACCAAAAATCTTCAGACAATTCACCAAATCCATTTTTGTATTCATTCCATGTACGTTGAAAATTTTCTGTACCTCTTATACGTCTCTGTGGATAAAATTTTATGAAGAAGCTAACTTTAAAAAAAAAGATATACACAGAGTCATACACAAACACTAATACATAAAGCACACCTAAGCATATTAAAATAAATGAAAACTGGCATTACTTGAATAAAGCGTGGGCGCAATTTAATTTAATTTATTTTACAGTTTAGAAAAGTACTTTCAGAAAGCATGAGGATAAACAATAAATATTTTTAAAAAAATTAAAAACCTGAATTAAAATCCATCCCCCTCCTTCTGTCTTCGTGTCGCACAAAGCCTGCTTGTGTTTTGTTAAGGTAAACTCCAAACGTTCAGGTAAACTTGGGTCATCGTCCTTTGAGCACTGAATCTACAGACACATGTTTTGATATTAATGTAATTACGCTTATGTAGATAATAAAAATAACTCGAGGATTAACCCATATTATCCCAAGGTCTAAAATTTTTATAATTTTTTGATATGGTTTAGCTTTTGGGCACTGAATGAAGGAATGACTATGGATTTTTTTTTAAAATCAATACTTTTTTAAATATCGATTTTTTAAAAAACGTCCCATAAATGGGACGCTAGCAACGAACGGCCCCATGTACATTTTTTGAAAAATAAAATCATTTTTCACGAAATATGGCTAATCACGCGAAAATTAAGCTGTGTACTGATTTTGTATTGTTAGACCAATGATTTAATTGTTTAGGACAGCTAAAAATACTGATAATGATCAATTGGGTTAGCCATACCATGGTCTAAAATGCAGAAATTATGTTCAAAAGTCTAGTTTTCTTTCAATCTAGCATCCATCAAAGTGAACAACACTTCGAAATAAGTAAAGCTGTGACTAGTACATCTAATTATACACACATGATCACAAATATTGTTATTATTCATCGAAACTGTAATATAATTAAATATAAATAATTGATTTTTTTGGGGGGCGTACTTGAAATTTTCAGGGGTGGGGACTTAAATTTCAGGGGAAGGGTGGACATTGGTAAAAGTATGTTTTGTATATAAATTCCATTTTCTTCTGGGGGCAGAGCCCCCCCCCCTCCTCCGAAATGATGCCTGAAAGAAACTCTGCCCTTAGTGAATTTGCAAAAGATGTTCCGGTCCAGTCTCAGATGTCATCCAGCCATCTTCTCTTTTGTTACCCTCGCTATCCCCCCCCCCCCCCCACAGGCGTACATTAGGACATCAGACATCTTATTTCTAGGGCACGGATCCGTCTCTGGGGACTTGTATTGAGTGTTCATGGCTCTCATCCATGTATGCACCTCACTATGTGAACAGCTCCCAATCTAACACAAGGAATCTCCTTAAAAAGTTAACAAAGTAAAGCTGGTATCGGTAACCTTTGGAGGGGGATATTATTGGGGCATGACAACTGTACACAGCTAATTCACATTTCTGCTATATGTAGCTTAAGCCCTCTTATATGAAGAGAGTTAACCAACCCCCATGACTGAATCATTTCACCTAAATCGTGGCAATTGTTATTATTCTGGTTTGTTATAATTTTAATATCACGCACTAGTAAATTTACAGCAATACTAAATTAGTTTGTATTCAATGGTATTAAATACTTCAGTAAGTGTAATTCTGAAAACTTAAAAATAAAATGTAATTTTTTCAATATTTGCAATTTTCTAATACAATAATATATAAGAAAATATAGCTCAAAGTCATAATTAAATATCTATAAATACTACTTAACACCCCAAAGTCAACAGTTAACGAAGTCAACAATTGTTTCACCATAAATAACCATTTAACATAAATATTTGCATCTGTGTTTCACGCTAGTGTCCAATAAATGTGACGTTTGTGTAACAATCTGCATAAATATAGGTCAAGGTCATAATTAAATATCTATACATACTACTTAACACCCCAAATTCAGCAGTTAACAAAGTCAACAATTGTTTCACCATAAATAACCATTTAACATAAACATTTGCATCTTTGTTTCTCGCTAGTGTCCAATAAATGTGACGTTTGTGTAACAATCTACATGGGGCCATTCGTTGCTAGCGTCCCACTTATGGGATGCTTGTTGTACACTTGATATAACGAAGTAGTAAAAAAAAATTGTTATTTTTAAATTTTTATCATATAGAAATATGGTACTGCTACAAGTTTCAAATGTATTTTGCACTTAAAATGTTAATATTTTAGAAGATATGCATTATCCTGTGCGCATGTTTTCTTTTTTCCGCCATTTTGACAAGTCCTGCAAATCCGGCACTATAACATTTTTCTAAATTAATTTTTTTCAAAAAACACACACAAATTCAATAGTTTAGCCATTTTCAAATACAATGAAACATAATTTGTGTTTTAACTAGTATTTAATAAATTTTAGCAATTTTTTTACCAAGCGTCCCATAAGTGGGACGCTAGCAGAATATGGGTTAAGCCGTGATGGAAAACTTTAACCAATGGTAAATAACTTGGAAAAAGTCAAATATAGAAAACATTGACCGGAAAAATGCGTCACTGAAAACCGAGGACCAGAAAATTGCAAAAAAACATTCTTAAAATGACCAATTTTAGACTTAACAGAGAGTGACTACATGCACATGGTAGCATAACAAAACTCATTATCACGAACTTTGACTAAATGTAATTGTTTTATTATAATTACTTTGTGTTTGCGCACAAAAATAAAAATAAATAAAAGCTTTGGTCGCTCATGAGATATTTTACCATTTATTAAAGAAAGCAAATTAGTTTTATTTTATTATTTTCAGAGCATTTAAAAGCTTGTCGCCATAATGGATTTGTATATTTGTTTTATTATTATTGTTGTTTTTTGTTTTTTGTTGTTGTTTGTATTTGCCTAGTGTTTTGCAACGCGATTTTGATTCGTCATTATAAATTACGAGAAAAATGGCCCGTTGAGGAAGGATACAACGGGCGCTAGGTTGATAGTGCTGTCTATTTTCTCTAAACTAAAACCAAAACTAAAATCACCACGTTAATACAATTTAACCGGAAACGAAAAATGACATTGAAAACGGATTTTTATCCAGAATCGGTACTTTAATTTATAAAAAATATAGTCATAGGCATATCCCTAAACCATGCACCTAATCTCATTCATGACAAAAGCCGCATTTAGAGTTTCTTTTAGGCAACTCTACTTGTGAGGAGGGGGCTCCGCCTCCCCCCCCCCCCCCACACACACACACCCCAAAACATGTCTACCGTCCCATTCAACAAAATATAATTATATATATTTTTTCCTCTGTCCGCCCCCCTCCCAGAAAATTCTAACCCCGACCGCGAAAATTTCAAGTACCCCCACCCTTCTCTGGGGAGGAAAAAATCTGAAAGAAACACTGGTCGCATTTGTAGATCATACAAACTAAAGTAAGAACATGGATGGGGAGGAAAAAGTCTGAAAGAAACACTGGTGTCGCGCTTAGCCACTACCCGAAGAATGGCACGAAAGAAACTGCAAGCAAACCACTTTTTAGATTAGACACATTAATTAGGCGGTCATTTTTATTATAAAGTATCGATGAAGAAATGTCTTTTTAGTTGGGGTGGGGGGTGGGGGGCGGCTTAGACGTTGTTTCTCGAGGGTAGGGCTTCGCCCCTACCCGAAGAATTGTATGAATGAAACTCTTCACGCAACCCACTTAGATTAGACAAAATTGCCTTTTTATTCAATGTTTACTCGAGAATCAATGACGTCATATTACTGTGTGCACTCTCCGGCTTGAGATTATTTTCTACTACATGCTCAATATGACGTCATATTTCGTTTCCGTCTCACTGTGAAAGTTTTTAAATTGCTTGTGTTTTCTCTAGAGCGTTCTTGTCAGATACATACACAGATAGATACACAGACAGCGAAACTATTAGTATTAATTATGGATGTGATTGGTAGTATCAGTGTATTTACAACATTCATTGTGTTGTGTGATTTTAAAACTAAATTTTGAATGGGTCTGCAGCTTTAAACATGTAGCTCAAAATAAAAATGAATCTAATGAATAAGTTACCTTTATTATTGCTTCACTGTCTAAAACGTCGAAATAAGCATCAACCAACGCCATCTTTATAGTTTTCTTTTCACTTAAATCACCTATATATTTATTCAATTTGTCTTCAAGAACCTGGTATTTTTTCATAATTTCGTTGAACGAGTTTTGAAGATTGATCAAGGGTTTATTTACTTCGTCTGGCACGGCAAGATTATCTGAACCTTGAAATTGTATTTTCATATCAGCTGAATAATTTAGGTTAGATCTGGTTAAACCAAGTTGAAGTTTTACTTCAGACGTAGGAGGCTTACTTCCAACTCTTAATACCAAATTTAGTTCGGAAAATGGGTCGGTTTCTCTTCTCAGCACAGCAGCTGTTGATTCTTTGCTAGTGATCTTTCTAGGATTATTTTCAACTTTTTGTTTCATTTCTACCTCGCCTTCATTGTTAGTGTAGTACATCTCACAGACAAACACTTTCGTCTGACATTCCTGCTCTTCATTGAAGAATAAAATCAGCTCTCCATCCGTTGAAGTTAAAATTCGAGACACCTTCACGTTCGATAACGTGTGACTCATATCCGGAACGGATGCAAGCAGAACTGTTCCCTCTCGATCATCGACTTTGTAAACCGAGATGTTGACAAAAGATGACACATCTGTGTTTTCTGTGATTTTCTCCGAACACTGCAGTTTAGCACAAAATACAGCATCGTCTGAAGGGATCTGGATCTCAAGATTCAAACCTAAATTTAAAGATTAAATTCTAAAATGACGACGATTTAAAATTAAACACGCGAATAACTTATTAAACCTACGTGTGTTTATTAAGGATGTTGTTATCTAGGGTTGTTTTATAAAAAAAAAATCCATTTTCAACCTGACGGGGCAAGTGAAGGAAAATGCACCCCTTTCCGTGACCTAGGCATATAAAGGGAAAGTGTAACCAGCACTATGCTTGACGTGAGTTAAGTATTCGTCGATGCCGGGTCTGTCTCAAGGTCATTCTACTGACTTACACACAAATTTGAACTCAAGACTTTTGGGGTTATAAGCCTGCTCTTACCGCGTGAAACCCTTATCTCGAGAGGAAACGATGAGAGAGGAACACTAATCAACTTTTAAAAAAAGTCCATTTGAGTTTTATATAATAGATTCAAAAATTCATTCTATGAATACTTTGAAATATGCATTAACGACAGTTTTATACGTAACAAATTCTGATTAAAAACTTGTATTTCTAATGTCAGACGAATAGACTATACCCACCTTCAGCTTCATTCAGCATAAAAACAGAAAGGAGCAAAATAGTAACTAACAACATTTTCAACAATAGCTACTTTTGCTTACTTTTCAGACACTTTGTGCTTCTTTTTATACATCTGCTGTTCAGCGTTTAAACTAACAAACAAAAATATATACTAAATGCACCTATCATGTTTATATAGAGGCACACACATACACGCATATATATATATATATATATATATATATATATATATATATATATATATATATATATATATATATATATATATATATATTTATTTATTTATAAGTAAAATTATATGTGTGTGTGTGCCTCCATATACACATAAATAAGTGCATGTAGAATATATATATATATATATATATATATATATATATATATATATATATATATATTCTACATGCACTTATTTATGTGTATATGGAGGCACACACACACATATAATTTTACTTATAAATAAATAAATATATATATATATATATATATATATATATATATATATATATATATATATATATATATCAATGTTCTCGGTCGCAAACCGTCTATCTCAAAAAAATTCGATTTTCTTTTCTTTACATAAATCAAAAGCCAGTATGATTCCCCATGATGCCTGAAAATATTAGAGAAATCTGTAGAATGATTATCAAGATATAATAATTTGAACAAACCGCCTATTATTTCTAGCGCTAAAAATATCGGCACAAAACGAATATCGCTATATTTGTCAGTGCACTTTTGATCGGGAACGCAGTAGCACGCCGCAATCACAAAATTTTACAGCACAGAAGTCATAGTATTTATAGGTAAGGATATTTGATTAATTATGTTCAGCTATTCTATTACATTTTATCATTTTAAAGAATAATAAACAAATAGTATTTGTTTAATATAGCTTATTTGCAGATTTTCAATAACCAAACTTGAAACTAGATCTTCATTCGAGAATCTAAATATTAATCAAAACAATATTATTCGAATAATATTTCCACAAGATTGTGCAATAAATTTAATTATATTTAATTCACTACTAGCTTTAGATTGAGGGTTTATCTAAGTGTTAAGACATGTTTTTTTATGGTAGGTTACAAACTGTTCGGCGTACATGTACATAATTAGTTGTCTTTAGTAAATGATTTTATGATAACTTTTTCAACAGACAACATCCTCTTTCAACAGATCAGCCTCTCTCAACAGACCAGCCTCTCTTGACATACCAACCCCTCTCGACAGACCAGCCTCTCTCAACAGACCAGCCTGTCTCAACAGATCAGCCTCTCTCAACAGACCAGCCTCTCTAAACACAACCGTCTTACCACTTTACAGACCAGCCTCTCTCAACAGACCAGCCTCTCTCAATAAACTAACCTCTCTCAACATACCAGCCTCTCTCAATAAACCAGCCTCTCTCAACATACCAGCCTCTCTCAATAGATAAGCCTCTCTCAACAGACCAGCCTCTCTCAATATACCAGCCTCTCTCAACAGACCAGCCTCTCTCAACACAACCGTCCTACCATTTAACAGACCAGCCTCCCTCGACAGACCAGCCTCTCTCAACAGACAAGCTTCTCTTGACATACCAACCTCTCTCAACAGACCAGCCTCTCTCAACAGACCAACCTCTCTAAACACAACCGTCTTACCACTTAACAGACCAGCCTCTCTCAACAGACTAGCCTCTCTCAATAGACTAACCTCTCAACATACCAACCTCTCTCAACAGACCAGCCTCTCTCAATAAACCAGCCTCTCTCAACATACCAGCCTCTCACAACAGACCAGTCTTACCACATAACAGACCAGCCTCCCTCAACATACCAGCCTCTCTCAACATACCAGCCTCTCTCAACATACCAGCCTCTCTCAACAGATAAGCCTCTCTCGACATACCAGCCTCTCTCAACACAACCGTCTTACCACTTAACAGACCAGCCTCTCTCAACAGACCAGACTCTCTCAACAGATCAGCCTCTCTCAACATACCAGCCTCTCTCAACAGATAAGCCTCTCTCGACATACCAGCCTCTCTCAACAGACCCGCCTCTCTCAACACAACCGTCTTACCACTTAACAGACCAGCCTCTCTCAACAGACCAGCCTCTCTCAACAGACCAGCCTCTCTCAACAGACCAGCCTCTCTCAACACAACCGTCTTACCACTTAACAGACCAGCCTATCTCAACAGACCAGCCTCTCTCAACAGACCAGCCTCTCTCAACAGACCAGCCTCTCTCAACACAACCGCCTTACCACTTAACAGACCAGCCTCTCTCAACAGACCAGCCTCTCTCAACAGACCAGCCTCTCTCAACACAACCGCCTTACCACTTAACAGACCAGCCTCTCTCAACAGACCAGCCTCTCTCAACAGACCAGCCTCTCTCAACACAACCGTCTTACCACTTAACAGACCAGCCTCTCTCAACAGACCAGCCTCTCTCAACAGACCAGCCTCTCTCAACAGACCAGCCTCTCTCAACAGACCAGCCTCTCTCAACAGACCAGCCTCTCTCAACAGACCAGCCCCTCTCAACAGACCAGCCTCTCTCAACAGACTATTCATATCATACAAGAGACCAGTCTCTCTCAGCAGACCAGTCGTAATATACAAAAGACCAATCTCTCAACTGACCAATCTTACCATCCAAGATACCAGACTCTCTCAACACACCCGTGTTACCATACCAGACATCAGCCTTTCTTAACAGACCATATATATATGTATATTAAAACATTGTGATATAAAAAGAAATATAACAATGTAAGCGATCAATGCTTTTACTAAAATATCTAAAGAATAAAACGTTCTTATTACTTTGAAATTTTAAATAATAAATTAAGCATTTATTTTTTTATAAATTTAGATATAATGTTATAATAATGTAGCAATCATGTTCAATTTCATTGTTTTACACTTATTGTCCAGTAACTGTTACAAACCATGAGGGTGTCACGCAGTGATCCGTTCCACGTATTCACCTTTCATACACATTACATCACCACACCATGCTTTTATTCAACTTTGCGACAAAGACGAATTTAAATCTGTTAAATGCTTGTGTAATAGGACTGGTAGTAGGTCACCAACCAGTTCTTTGGCTCATGCAGGTTTTATTGAGCCGCGAAATGGTTGGTGGCCTACTTACCAGCCCTATTACCATCGTTTTGTCATTTTGAAAATCTGAAATGGGAATTTATTTTTTTATTACTTTGAAATTAAAAATACTAAATTATTTATTGATGTTTCATAAATTTAGATCCAATAAACTCTCCTACAATGCTGAATGTTCTGCAACTATTTTGCTATTTGCTCGTGCATGTGAATTGCTTCTGGTACAGGACATTGATTGACGGAGAGGGCAGTATATTTCAGAGTCCTAACCGAAACATTGTCGGAACATCACGAGTCAGTATCTACCTATTTTTTCGTCATCAGTTATTTTTTATGTAGTAAAATTTAATACAACTAGGCATGCTGCCCAGCTTCGCTTAGGCATTCGAAAACATTGAGAATTTGAATGCTTAATTAATTCGCCCGAGGGTCGGTCTACGACCTCAGGAGTTATGAAGAGGTTCCTACGTGGACATTTTTTTTCGATTTATAGCTCCTATAAGGCGCCGGTCAGTCGAGGTCAGTTTTGACCCCCTCATCGTAGACTTTTCGGCCGACCGGCCCCCGTGTTCTGTCGCCCCAAGGCAAGATCCTGCCAAATTTTGAAGTGCCTGCGGCGCCGGGAATTGCCATATCGGGCACCTGACAACTTTGCTTTATATATTATAGAGATTAGCAAATTGCATAGATTTCAATAAAGTAATTAAGGCCTGAAATACTTTAGTATAGAAATGTATTAATTGAATAGATTCTAGGTAGGGTCTACATCTGTGTAAGTCTAGTTTTTCCGTAGATCTAGATAATCTAGATCTAGATCTAGAATATCTAGATCTAGAATATCTAGATTTAGAATCCTAATAGAATTTTTTTTAAAGATTAGCCCGAGCAAAATTGTATTTTATAAATTTTATAGCGTACGTAGATCTAAATAATATTTGAATGAAATAGTTCATTTCTTTTTATTCTAGACTCGGAAGATGACGTCATCAGTTTCGTGCTCTTTTTTTTTAGTGTAAACAATAAGCGACGTCATTGTTAAATGCGTTCTTGTCCTAAGTTTAAACACTTTTCCGGTTGCATGATTAAAATTGTTTTTCTACATTCGAATACGCCTTTATTTTTTATTTTTCTTCTTTAAATAAAATTGTGGTTATACATTTAAAACATCTAACATATTATTTTCAACAAAAGTCCGTATAAAGTTCTTCATATATCGCTGCAGTTTCTGATGTGATGTCCGGCGAAAACTTTTTGCGGACAGACAGAGAGAGAGAGAGAAGTGTGCGCGTGGTCCATTATATTTTACGATACTCATAAGTTAAATTTTAACATATTTCTTCAGAATTCGTTAAAAAATGTAATGGCTTTTTTGTATCTAACATAACAACGAATTACGCGTAAACATATGCGCCATATGGCATGTTGATTACGACTTCAGCCTTTGTGATTTTTTTGTTTTGTTTGGGCATCAATAATCTTAGTTTAACTAAATAATTCTGCAAGGTAGTGTTTTTTTTTAATTTTTTAGAGTTTTCTTCCCTAGAAAGGTTACTGTCCGCAGCTAGAAACAGGGTTTCTTCCCATGATAGGTTTTGATTTCAACGGGATGTATCACGCATGCCATTTTGACACTTAATACTTAATTGTGTTAGAGAAATCCTCACCCCCCCCCCCCCTCCCCAGCTTACATCAAAATTAAGAACAGAAAAAAAAAGCAATTTCGATTTCCTCTTTTAACCTGCCGGTTTGTTTGAAAATTAAAATAGAGTTCATTTGTTGCTGCCACCTCGGCAAAGTGAAGAAGTAAAATGGTCAGCGCTTACGAAAACTGTAGAATAGCTTCAATCATGTTTTTTACTTTTTCGTTTTACACCTCACTGATACGGAAAAACATTTTGCAATCTTGTCCGTATATCTCTCTCTGTGTGTGTGTCTGTGTCTGTGTCTGTGTCTGTCTGTCTGTATGTAAGCACGATAACTTGAGTACCGTTA